AGAGACTTTGTGCATTCAAAAGCTACTCTTGAATCAATTCTTTCAAAGAGATTCAGACACAGATTTGGGTGCACGTGCATTAAATCGCTGTAGCTATCATGCATATATTCTATAGCTGGCATTCTTTCATCAATTCTTTAGAAAAGCACACAATTACATGGTAAAACATCAGTAATAAAACACAGCACGTATTTTTATGAATCATATTCGAGCAGATTTTCAGTTTAAGTAAACTTGTAAAGTAGCATGTTCTGTGGATATACATGCTGTAATCCCGCAGACAAGTGCTCATGCAAGGATTTATTTATACAACAAAACTATTGGGGGGTTTTTTGAGGGGTTGTAACAGCTATTAACATAAACCTCTGTCACAGTAAAGTCAGAATATATTTACAACTATTTCACAAGCATTTGAAGAGCTACACCTTCAGATAACTTGAGAAGTGCTATACAAAACAGCAAGCCTCTGAACAAGATTAACATATACTTGGGTAAATACAGTCCTTCACTCAGAGGACTGGCAATCTTAAAATTGTCATGAGGTTTATTCAAAAGCAGAACATCATTTGAAAGAGTTTTGGGGGTGAAATGGAACTTAAACTTCAAAGGTACAAGTAATCCACGATCAGCTTTGCCAAAAATTAATTTGAATTTCAAGCTACCACACTAAGAATTGGATGAGACTGTGTCTGTAAGAAGGCAGTGCTTTGAGAGTGCAAGATCTGAGAATGTTGCACGCAGCTGAAATTATTAAATGTTATTGAGAATTTTAATTGTCAAGTGGTATTCCAAATTGATTTTTCCCTACCTTTCTATGGCTTTCATAGCGATAGTGAAAAATAAAGATTGCACAGATGCTGTAGTTTTTCGCTGTGGTACGCTAGTTTCATCTGGCATCCCAACTTGCACAGCTCGGTTAATAAACTCCTGTCAGCCTCCTAAACCAGCATTTGGTTTAGAGACTTTTCTTTGTTATAATTTTTGTTAACAGCACAAATTAGTCTTACCAGTGAAGCACAACCCTGTGTTTCACAGAGACATTTGTTTTGTAACCTTTTCCAAAGGCAAAAAGGATTCACTGCCTTACACTCAGAGGTATCTGTAATTACCTTTCTTAACAGAATTAGTGACTTAACCACTGAAAACGTCTGCCTACCCAAAGAGTCAAGAAACTCGTCCCACAGCTGTACAGCCAGAAGGAGACATACTCACTCCAAGCCTACCTACGAGTAAAGTGTAGCACTACCGATTCTAACTGCGTCATCCTGGGAAAAGAAACGAGCAACGCTTGGATTTGTTTGAATTTTTCTTCCCTTTCCGCTTAACACAAGAGCGGACCCTCAGCAGGAGAGGCCTCCAAGCCTGTGCTATTCCCCATGTATATGCTCACTTTTAAGTTTCCTTGATCAATTCAAATCCAAACCATGCCACACCTGCACTCAAAGGCACAACAGGGAGCCTTTAGAAAGCATCTGCATCAACGAAGACAAGACTCCCCGAACTTGCTCTGTTAGCAACGCTGAATGCTTGAATTTTGCATTTTACTTAAACTTCAGAATTTAGTATCAGAGTAACTCAGATGGTCTCTTTGGCAGCAGACATCATAGATCTGCAAAAAGATTTTGCAACTAACTTTTGCGTGCTGTTACCTAGCCTTCTGTAAGCTCCTGTACAGCATTTCCTGAGTTGCATTTGATGGGAATTTATTTTTTTATATACTACTGTATCACCATATGGACTACTATAAGTATCAGGTAGAAGGATGGCACTTCCCAAATGGAGGATAATACAAAAGGGAATAGGTGGATATTTACAGAATAGAAAACAAAAAGATACCATCACTACAAAAAGAAATAATATCAGTAAATCGACATCATAATTTGTTAACGTTTTGCAGGCATCATGCAGGAGGAGAGTGTACTAAGGTAGCTCTGGAAATCAAATATAAAATAAAAAAAATCTAGATGAGGACTGAAATCACTAAAGACAACAAGATCAGAATTCCAATTATTTCCACTCTCTGAACGAGGCTCCAAAACACTCAATATTTAGGAAAGACAAAAATGCACAAATATTACCTCATGACCAACAGTTTACATAGCACCACTACAGCAAATATTATTCTTATTTTGTTTGGAATTCATCAGAGAGACTGATGCTGCTGTTATAAAGCACTGTCCTTCTGAGACTTATTACTAGACATAGTCTCTGTAATAATAAACTCAGGACAAGCATTCCACTTCACTTGGCACTACCAAAGGCTCAACCAAGCATCACTGCTCTCCTTGTTTGGGCAGCTGACTTGAAGAAGCATATGGGTGAAAAAGAGAGACTCCACAGGAAGAAAAAGCTCACTGAAAGCAGTTTAGAAAAACAGATGCATGAAAAGTTGAGATAACTGTGTTTGTACAGCCCAGGAATTGCAAATGGGGCTCGTAACTTTGCAGTATGCTAACTGTTACAAAGAAGACTGAATTTCTCTTGGCATTCTCTCAGAGCAATTTGCAGTAAAGAAGATTTAAGTAGGACAGTAGAAAAAAAACCACAACCCAAACAGTGAGCTAATGTACACATTCAGAAAAGCTAGAGCTGAAAGTCAGAATATAAAGACACATCTGTATGTGAATATAAAGACACATCTGGCACAATATGAGCCAGCAGTGTGCCCAGGTGGCCAAGAAGGCCAACGGCATCCTGGCTTGTATTAGAAATTTTGTGACCAGCAGAAGAAGGGAGGTGAGTGTCCCTCTGTGCTCAGCACTGGTGAGGCCGCACCTTGAGTACTGTGTTCAGTTTTGGGCACCTCAGTATAGGAGAGATCTCGAGGTGTTGGAGCGAGTGCGGCAGAGGGAACAAAGCTGGTGAAGGGCCTGGAGAACAGACCTTATGATGAGCGACTGAGGGAGCTGGGTCTGTTCAGTTTGACAAAGAGGAGGCTGAGGGGGGATCTCATCATGCTCTACAATTACTTGAAAGGACATTGTAGAGAGGTTGGTGCTGGTCTCTTCTCACAGGTAATTAGGGACAGAACCAGGGGGAATGGTTGCAAGTTGCAACAGGGCAGGTTTAGGCTGGACATTAGGAAGAAATTCTTCACAGAAAGAGTGGTCAGACACTGGAACAGACTGCCTAGGGAGGGGGTTGAGTCGCCATCCCTGGATGTGTTCAGGTGTCGTTTAGATGGGGTGTTGGGTGATACAGTTTAGGGGTGACCTTGTAGTGTAGGGTCCATGGTTGGACTCGATGATCCCAAGGGTCTTTTCCAACCTGGATTGTTCTATAATTCTATGATCTAGGGAGGTGGTAGAATCTCCTTCAGCGGATCTTTTCAGGAGATGAGAGAGCACCCATCTAGGATGATTTAGGTACATGATTATTCCCCTCTGCTAAGTAGAACACGCTAGAAAGCCTCCTGAGTCTCTTCCAGTCATTTAATTCATTGAGATAAAATAACAAGAAAAAAAAAGCTATACCATCAAAAATTAGCATGATACAGGCAACAGTCTGGAAAACAAGGTAACAGTAAGAGACAGAAGATGACAGCAGAGTTTGTTTTCTGTTGTTTCCTATACTTCACCTTCCTATTCCATATTTTTACTTCTTTACATTGATAGGAAATGGGTAAGAAAAAATATCATTTCATCCCTGTTTCACTCATTATTTTCTATTTTTTTTGCCCGTCTAAGTATTTTTGGTAAAGTTGGTGATGGATCCCACCGCACTTGCTAAAAAAACAAAGTAATTCAAGCAAACAGAAGGCACAAGCCCTACCTGTAGTCTTCACTACCTGACCCAGATGCATGAATCCAGAATATCTTTTTATTCTGGAAGCCTTAAAAGAGGAACGAATCAAAATGAGAAAATCATAGAATCATAGAATGGCCTTCAAAAGCCTCATAAGCTTGTTAGTGTGTGTCAGAGTGTCTACACAGAATTAGAACTACTGCAGTAAAAAAAGCATTTCATTAAAATGGACACACTAACCACAATACTCTGCATTTTCAGGGCCAACATAAGGTGCACTGATATGTAAAAATTGTAATTACATGTGGCAAGGCCTACCGCGATTTGTTCTGAGGAGTAACCAAGTATAGCCCTGTTACACAAGAAATGCAGGGAATATTAATACATACGAGGAGGAAAAAAAATAAATAAAAACGGAGGGGCCCCGCCATTTCCTTTGCAACAACATATTTTAATTGATATAATCTATATCCTCAATGGATTCAGGTTATAACCAGGGCATTATTAAAGACTTGCACTTAATCTGATAAACAGTACAATGTAGCTTTTTGTAAAAACAGAATCTCCTGGGGTTTAGTGATTTATCAAATTAATCTTGCAGAGACTTCCTTTGGGTATAATGGATTCAGAATCTCTCATATTCATAGTCCATCTGTATTTCTGTATGAACCCCCTTCCCTTATTTCCAGTAGGTGCTTTTCAAACTGTTAACCCCTCCTCTTCTGGTTACAAAAGACCATGTGCATAAACAAGAAGACATTAAAAATTTGGTTCTGAGAAAGATTTTATTTTTACTTCTACTGCATAATGAAATTACAAATAACGTCTTTACCGGTAAGTCACGGTATAACAACAGCAAAGACGGATTGTATTTTGTACAGAAACTAAAGGCTCACGAACCGATTTTATGGTCTGTATGCATCCCATCATTACATAACATACTTTTACATTCAGTTTAGCTTTAAGAATGCTGAAGAACAACAAGCAACTTGGACTTAATGTTGGAATGCATAAATGATCCAAGCACAAACAGCTTTCTATTCAGTAAAAGACGCATGTAAACTTTAGGAAGATTCTTGGTTTAACCAACTGTGATTACAAAAATAAATACCCACCATAAAATACACCGGGTTTGCAAACATGAAAGAGATTACCCAAAGGTTTGCATTACAGCAGCTTGCAAGTGACCCAAGCACCACAGTCTCACATCTTGGTGAAGTCAAAGCCTGCTGTGGGTTAGCCTTCATCTTACTGACCTTTCGATGCTCTTGGAGATTTGTTGCTGAGGAACATTTCTTATTGCACACTGAACACATCAGCTTCTTCCTAGAATTTCCTGAAACAGAAACAGAATACCACCAACATCTTGAAAAGGAAGCGTTAAGAAAGAACCTAAATATTTCCACTGAGTCTGTGACTTTGCACAGGTCATTTGACTGACATAAGATTTCTACATTTGTTTCTCATCTTCAAAGTGCTGCATATCAGGAGTTCCCTGTGGGTGTCCGACAACCCAGTTACTGATGGAATGTAAATCAAGAAAACTAGAACAATCAAGAAAAAAATCCTTCAAATAGATGTTATCACACATCACGAATCCAATATAAAGAGCACAACTCACAGCTAAGAACAACTCACTTGGTAACTTTTGAACAGTTGATTTCTTCCAGAAGCCAATTCAGGAATCAGTGCAGCAATAAAAAAATAAAAAAAAAGATCCCAAACTGAAGTAAAAACTATCATTTCTCGGTTTTTTATTCAGAAAGCATTAAACATTCTACTATAGAAAATAGTATTAATGGTCTTTAACTGAACAAGACAGAGAAACTGTATTAGCATCATATAATTAATTACAATCTAATCTAAAATGTAAACTACAAAACAAGCTACAGGTCAGCTACCAGAATTATTTTCCCTCCATTTTTGCAGTTCCTTTAAAAGCTGACAGAGTATTTAATAAGCTTTCCCTATTACTTACCTTTTGAAATTCATTTTCGTAACGCACACACCTATTTTATTACAAGATAAAGCCAGTACAAACCTAATTATTTGTTTAGAATTTTATGCCCATGCAAGGTATTTCCTGGCTTATGTGAAAACTGTTAATATTACATTGAATGGAAGAATGGAGACAGAATGCATGAGGGAAGTATTGCTCAGTCAAGCACAGGGTAGTATGGACCATAAACAATCTCATTAGGTGGCTTCTAGGTCACATTTTTGAATTCATAGCATTCTGTATCTGTCCTGCTCTTGTTGTCCTAAAGAATTCATGTTCCATTCATTCCTTTTAGCACAATGTACCCTGTCAAACAATTGGTTCGATACTCAAATATGTAGAAAAAAAAAAAGTACTTAATCTCACATATGCATTTGCTGTTGTAAACCTCGTGACAAGTATTTATATATACTGATATACACCGAAATACAGAAACGCACTTAGCAGTTCAACTTACAAGAACATTAACTACACCTTTTCAAAGGTAATAGTTAGTATCTGCTCAGAAATTTGCGTAAAAGACGACAAATATACAATCCTTTCTACTTTCCCTTGCCACCAGGTAACACAAAGCATGAAGGAATTCTAGAAATGTCCCTCAAACAGTAGCAGATTACTTTCCTTCCTGCACTGACACCCCCTGTGATTTCTGAGATTCCCAAGTGGTAAAATAAAAGCTCTGCTCATTGCACAGGCAGGGCAAAACTATCCTCCAGGCATCTGAGAGCAGTCATGTCTGGAACAATCATTGAAAAGAACTGTGGAATTTGTATACCACTACAAAACTAACCAAAGCTAAGCCTAAAACAAAACAATGATTACTGCTGAAAAGATTTCTTACTGAAAAAAAAGGAGAAAAGAACAGTTACGGGAGGGTTTCCCTACGCTTTAAGAGTTCGGCAAAAGAAAGAGATCTCATGTAACGAAAGTCGTACAAAGCATCTCACCGCTGTCAACGTTAACTAAAGACTGTTTTCTTCGCGCTCTGGTATTTCTCTGTCCCCACACATACTGATTGACATTGAGAGGGGACATGCAGAGAGACTGGAATGCCAGAACTGAGATGGGCATTGTCGATCCGAGAGCAGCGTTTTGCCCTTTCATGAAAACAGAGTGAAGTTTAATTGAAAACTACTGATTTGTTGTGCACAGATAGAAAAATGCTAGGGCCTAGCAGGACTAGTGGATTGTTTGGTCTGGCTTCCTGCACAACAGAGGCTTTAGAATTTTATGCAATACCCTCATTAAGCCTAATCGTTTGTGAAGCATGTCTTCCAGAAAGAAGACATCCCTTTGTATCCTGAAAACACCAGAAGATCAAGAACTCGCCACTTGCTGTAGCAGTTTGTGCCAGTGGTTGATTTCCCTCACTACTGAAATGTTTTGTTCTATTTATTATTTGCCGAGTTTAAAGTTCCCCAGATTCCTATTGCATTTTCTGCAACAGGCTAATGATTCATTTGGTATACAGCAATTTCTCCCTGAGGGAGGAGGACCTGTTACTTTTGCAATTACTTCTCAATTTTCTCTTTGATACAAATGAATCCATTACAAAAGAAATCAAAGAAAATGTTTACTCTGATTCACAAATTAAAGGCTAGGAACATGATAGATTTCTCCCCCCCCGCCCCGAAAGAAACGTTTAACTTTTTCTTACCACTGTGAACATTTTCTTTGTGTTTCTTCAGGGCATCCTTACTCTTGAACCTCTTCCCGCAGCTATCTGCCTTGCATATGAATCTGGCATCCCCTCGGCACGCCTCCTTGTGCTGTTCATAACTATATGGGATAACCAGCGGAGGAAAAAAAGAAAAAAAAAAAAGCAACACATAAGGCAATAACTACAGAAACCAGACCTACAGCAAGTATTCTGAGCTTAACACATGCTGCACTGCAGATTTCCAAGGCCACCTCATGCATTACTTACAGCAAATAGGAACGAAAGCATTTGACTTCTTTCACGGTTAGGATTCACATAAACTAACAAGCTTGAAAGGTAACATGCAAAGGGAGGCCAGCAATGATATGACAGCAGTCCAGTAACTCAGACACAAAACCTCGATTCTGAGCTGAAGGAAGTATTGCAAACAGAGCACTGAAAACTTCTCGAAGAGTCTCCTGGGCTGATATTCTCTGTGCATTGAAGTACACTAAAGAAAAATAAAAAATAAAAAATAAGGGCAACATTCTACAACTTAGACAGACTTGAAATAGCTAAAAACATATATACAGCTCTACAAATCTTTCAAGAGGTGAGTAATCTATTTCATATGCAAAGTGTCCTGGAACTTAATGGGACTAATCAAATGCATAAACAGCAAGAGCCAGGATCATACTGCTGTATCCTCACAGAGGTTAATCTTACTTTACATCATGTAAAAAATTCACTTAACTAGTTATATATCACAAGTCCAACTTCCACTATAGACTACAAGGAACGAATCTAAGTTCAAGAAAAAGTACATAATTGCCTCCCCCAAATATTCCTCTGCTGTCTGATTTTATTTATTTCCATAAAAGCACACTGAGTTTATATAGAGCTATATAGTTCTAGGCATGTTCACAATATTCAGACTTAAGGAAGATCAATTTATTACAAGAGCGGCCTTAAGTGCCTTTTATGCAATATATGAGTTAGATTAAATGTATAATCTATAATCTCTTACATAGCCCATGTACTAGTTGTAATTAAAAGTATAATAAAAAGTAATATATCTAATTAATCACAAGCAAAAAAAAAAAAAAACATAAAAAAAGACAAACCTAGTTATGTTTTTGTTAAAAAATACAATTATAAGGTGTATGACTTCAGTGACAAAACTGTGTATTTACACTATCAAGGACACTAAAGATGTGCTCTTACATTTCACATCTTTCCTGTCTCTATACCCAAATGTTTAATTAAGCAAACACAAAGCATTGTCTTTCCTCTTTTTTGTCCTTCTACATCATTGTTTACTTTTGTCTAAAACTCACTTTAGCTCTGTAACAACATCCACAGCCTAAAAATTCCATCTCCTAAACTACTAAACAGTCCACTGATGGAGACCGACAGTTTTGCACCAAACAGCAGCTCTTGTCTCGTCTCATGTATGATTTTAAAACATAAAAAATGAGCAACTTTTATGCAATTCAGATTGACGTCTCCAACAAGTGCAAGAAATTAACATAGTAGAAGACTACTATGAAGGGTAAGGGTAGAAATACACAAGCATAAAAATTAAAGCTTAAACTGTGATTAAGAGAAAAAACTATTGGATTAAATTGATTTAAATGATCCCTAAAAAAACCACTTCCATTTCTACTTACTGTCTTTGTAGAGCTTGTTTAACAGGGAATTTCTTTCCACAGTTTTGGCACTTAAATTCTTTTTCCTCACTGGGTTTTTGGTGCAAAGTCTGAAGATGTTCAGCTAGAATCTCCTGGCTGGCAAAACTCGATTCACAGTTTGGGCACGCGTGGTCATCTTTACACGTGAGGGGATCTGCAGGATTGGAGGCAAAACCAGTAAAGGAATAGTTTTCAGGGAATATTTTGATTACATTAAAGGACACTCTCTGCTGGAAATGATTCCACAAAATGGCATCACAAAACATCCTATCTTGAGTTGATTACCATCAGTATCATTGAAAATGGACATAAAATACTAAGCTGAGTGTGGCTTAGGCTGTTTGCTTAAATTTGTCACCCAGGTTGTCTCTACTTTGAGAAACATGCTAGGAATTTACCAGACAGCTCAAGTCACCTACGTTTTCTTAGACATCTTATGACTGGCTGAACAGTTCTATAAAAAGGTTTACCTCTGTGTAAGTAAGATGGAAACTATCCCACTTAAGACACAAACTTAGCTTTCATTAGACTACATGGCTTTATGGACTCTGTCTTTGGCTCAAAAATTAATGGTAAATTTGCATGAAATCTCTGCTCATCCACTCAGTAATTCACAGAACTAGCTCCTTATTAGGTGAAGAAAAGAGCCTCAACTCAAACCAAAATGAACACACAATCATACAAGAGCTCACACTAAACCTGGGCAGCCTTCCACTTCCCAAGCCTACACAGTTAGGTCTTCTCTTTCTTCTTTGTTACTACTTTTAAGCTCTAAAGTTATCCCATTTTTTACATATTGCTCACCTGCAATTTTTTCACCAGCTGGTGGCACTTCCTTATTGTTTCCACTGTCTTCATCCTCCTGGATAACAGTTACTTCTTCTTCTTCCTCCTCCTCTTCTTCCATGTCACTGTCCAAGTACCCAATCAGAAGTTCTGTGTCTGTTTCAATATCTTCCACAGCCAGATAGAAAATATTTTCCCCTTCCTGTTGCAAACAGTAAGTAAAAGCAATGAGTAATTATATCAGAAAAAGTAAAATCTAACGACGAGGACAGGACCGTGAATTAATATTAGCCCTCAACTACAGAAGGACTAGCTCCATTCCTCAGGGAGCACAGTGCTAGAACAGCCTTTCTAAGACATATTTCCCAGCGTGGCTGCAAGGATGAAGTGCCCTTGTATTCTGCAAATATTCTCCTACCTCTCCTGCGAGGCTTTTCCAATACACATTGGAAAGATTAAGGTGAAGGTGGTGTTAAAGTCCTCCTCTCCTGCCACACTCTGCCTGACAAGAACTTCAGAGTTTGAAAACTAAAACATTTCATTACTAGAAAAATACCAAAACTTAACCAATACAACATCAGCTCTGTTCCTTTGGCTGCATGAATTATGACTCAGCTTTCAGTAGCATGTTTACATAGTATTACTTATTTTTCTCTCCTTCCTTTAGATTCCCAGCCTTCCCCATGGACAGGCTGTCAATCCTGTTCAGTTATCTTCACTACTGAGTTATCAGGCACACCTGTAAAATGCATTTTAAACCACTAGATCAAAACCCCCGGCTGGTTTAATTAGTGTAGATACGCAGATCCGTAGGTGGTAAAAAATCTAGCCCAGATTCTGCATGAGAGGACAAACTACTCAATAATAAGCTCCAAAACCTTCTCCACAATAAATGGACAAATTTCCAAATAGATACATAAGCTCACAACTTTGGTCTTTGAAAATATTTTATTCAAGTTACCAAGGTTGGTGTGGGATCTGTAGCAAAATGAGCCATCTCCTAAAGTCATGTCATGTTCAGAGTTGCTTTTGCTTTTTGCCATATGTAAACCAACTGCTTTAGATACAACCAAACACACCAAAGGAGATGCATTTCTAAGCAATGAAGACTTAGAAATTCTATCATAAATCTTACAGCTTATCTGATTAATATGCAGAAAAATTAACTGAGGCATCTTGACACTACATCTAGCCATATATTTTGTAACAAGCTTCCTAACACAAGAACAAGATAATCAGTTTTAATTTTTGCAATATATTAAGATTAATTTAAACTGTCAACACAAATTCTTGAAGCTTTAAAGGTCTGTCGTACATTATGCAAGATATTGTCACAGAAGAGTGAAGCCTATTTAATTCAATAGACTTGATACAGATGCTGCTTTCAAGGACACACGACTTTTCTGTCATTATCTCAAAAGGGGCATTTGAAAAGAAAACCAATTGCATTTTTTTTCCAGACCTATTTTGCAGTCCAAATACCTATCCACTCTAACTATTGCATATATCTACAAGTTGCTGGTTTTCATATGCCTCTGCCACGTTGCAGAGACCTTTAATTTACCACATTTTAAACTCAAGTCACGTACCAAAACTCTTGACATGAGGAAAAGTAAAAGGTCCTTCTATGCTCAGTCTCCACTTAGCCAGGATAAAACCACTGAAGTAAACCTTCAACACATCACTGTTTAGGATAATCTTATTCTAAAAGCAAGACAACCTTACAATATAAATAGAAGCACACACTTATTACTGGCTTGCCAAAGGAAAAAAAATATCCCAGGCAAAAATAAAAGTCTCAAGCTTACTTACTAAAGAATCAAACAGCACACCTTTCAATTAGATCATACATGACACATCTTACACCACACAGTAAATGCGGGACAACAGCAGCTAGAACTAATTATTCAGATTAACTAAGTGCATGAGTTCCAAGACCGAAGCTCTTAAGTACAGCGCTGCATCCTCACCCTCTCTGTCACTTCCCTTAGGGTCTATCTGGGCTTTATTTTACAGCTCTGTGCCTAAAAACATTCTGGCTTTTTCCCACTGGTCTATTTTGATTAGTAAAAAGATCAGTGGAAGAAGTACTAACAACTCTCAACGCTTGAGTGCTCTTGGTTGCATTTGCAGTGAAAAGTAATTAGCTTTGGTGCAAGCCCAAACTAAAACACGGCTCAAACTCCTCCAGGGCTAATTTGTTGGGCTTTTCCAGGCAATCAAATGCTAATAGGCAGGTATTCAGAGCACTAATTAATCCAGATACACTCAACACTGTAGAAGCTCCTCAAGGCAGCATTTTCAGTGAAACCAATGGAAGTTCTCCAGAAACCACAAAGGAATTTAAGTCTCTCCCTCCACCAGCACTTGCATGAAGCACATTTATGTACATGCAAACACAGACACAATAAACATACTAAAATTATTCAAAAGATTTTTTACTAATCTTCTAATTTCTAAGAACACATCTGCAGTTGTTCCACCTGCCCATCTGCTTAGGCCATGCCACTTGTTTTGATAATAACCTTCACCTGCAGTGGGCCACAATGCTCCTTGGGGAAAAAACTCCTAAGTTCTGGTCACAGTGGCATCACAACCTCCCTTCGTGTTATTACTCATTTACGTTTTCACTTTGCTCCTCTCACCCCCTGCCTTGGCTGTCATCTTTCAAGTTATGGCCTTTTCCATCCTCCAGAGCTTGATTGGCTGGTTCCAACCCAGCCTTCCTAACCTTTACCAAGTCTCCCACCGTGCCCACAACCACTACTTTTAAAGTGCTACACCTGGCTTCCCTCTACACTCCACATCCCGGCAACAAGCCAGCTCTTCAGCCTACCTGTTCTGCCAGTTCTTCTTTGCTACCTCTCCAAACAAGCACACTCCCTTTCCCAATTTTTGCCTGCAGCTCCAGAGTGTCCTGTTTGAGTAAACGCAATCTTGGCAATGCCTGTGAGGGCAGAAATGCCAATCCAGGACATGTGTGTGGGTGATTTCTCAGGAGCTGCGGCAGGAGAACACAAAGCCACAAGCTCAGGAACAAGAAAGGACAAAAATGAAAGACAGGATCAAAATAATGATGTTCCTCCCCATGATCAGAGGCAGAACGTGGTGCCTAGAACACTCTCCACAACACCACCAAGAGCTCCCACCAGAAAGAGAATTCTACAAAATATATAGCATTACAGGGAGAAGTGGGAAAAAAAAGGAGGGAGTAACCATCACACTGCCCCCAAAAGTGAAAAAAACCCACAAAATAAAATACACTTTGGCAGCTAGTTTTTGATGGTACTAAAAAACAATCCTTATGAGATAATTTAATAAATTTTTGTTCGGTTTCTAAGTTTGCCTTCCCTATACTTTTCATCATTTTGTACATGCTGGTCATGTTTCTTCTATTTTTCTCTCTAATTTTTCCAAATGTTTTTCTGTGGAAGCCTTTATAGGACTAAAATTCTTGCCAGTCTTTCGTCTTTTTAAATCACCCTTTAACTTCAGTATGATTGTTTAAAAAGGCATTCAAAAAGCCCTAAGCACACCCTAAGCGAAGTATAATATTATGCAACACAGCATAACAATTTATTTCCATTTATTTATTTAATCATTCATACCAAACAGCTCACTGGTATGCACTAGATATTCCATTAAAACTTCTATTCAGAACTTTGGGACCTTTTACTGTTTTATTTAAAATTTAATAATGAACGTTAACTGTTCACACTGCTCCCTCTTGTGAACTTCACTCTGCATTTTCTAATATTGATCCCAATTTGCTGTCACACTGCCTCTGCACTAACGACATGCTAGTTGATCACTGGCTAATGCCCAGGACTCCTCATGGATAACAATTTGATGCTATAGGCAGGACAACAACTCATTTGATAGATCTTGGTATAACTGAGGGACAAAGACAGAAGGAAAACATCCAGAAACAGAGGGGAAGGAGCAGGGCAAAACCAGCAATAATGCATCTTTCACAGAACTACATGCTAGGGCTTTACTAGTACTCTTTTGCCTCTTACTAGTTTTAAAGGCGTTTTTTTCCCTGTTTTATTTCATCAGAAAAAAACTTTGTTTCCTTGACAAGATTTTTTTTCATTTGCTCTCAAAATAAACTATGTTTTCACATTCTTTTCTCAATCATCTGCAGGCAAATCCAAGAAAAAATTCTTCTAATGATAAAAGAAGCAGAATAATAATCTTAAGAAATGCCGATACATAATTATTCTTTTCCTAATTTATTGCAAATTGGGATTACATCAGCAAATATACTGGGTTAGCATGAAACAACATTCTGGAAAGTATACATTTTGACCAAAATATTTAACACAGGTATGCTATTCTTAGTTATATGGAATTGGATATTATTTTACTGTAAAACTGTTCAAAAAAACTCATATGCAGATAGTTAATTTCTTTCATAATCTCCAAAATGACAACAGCTGTAACTAGAAAAATATCCCTGTCTTGGTTGCATTCTGCAAAGTCACAGAATGCTTCCAAAAAGAAGAGATTAAACAGACTAAAACTCTTCATCTTGAAAGAAGAGCTGTCAAATAAGAGGGAAAGGATATAACAGTGCTCTGTAAAATCAATGCTGGCACGGAAAACCAACCTATACACTGTTACACAACGACTACAAATCAAGTGAAATTAAGAAATTTCTACAAGAATAGAAGCATGTTTCAACATAAGGTGTAATTAAAACAGTGGAACTCATTACCACAGAATGCTGCAAATTACTAATAAAAAATTGTAAAAATAAGCTGGATAAATAAAGATCCACAGCCAAAACTAGAACAAAAAAATTATCTTTTTTTTTTTTATTAACTTATCCTCAAGCACTGCCCGATCACCCTATCAGGTAGCGAGATCTTTCAATTCTCTGTTTTCTACTGAAATGCTTTAAGCGCTATGCTTGCTTTCAGACCTGTCACACTTTTACATTGCATTTTGAAAAAAACCCAAAAACAATACGATTCTGCTTTCTGCACGCCTAATCCCATACTCGCGTTCATCATGAAACACAACTAGACCTCTAAATCATTAGTCCTGATTCATCCAACTATACAGTTACTTAGTCACCTTTTTCATTTCCACGATGACAAGAAAACAATTCTGTTTAGACAAAAGCTTAACTTGAATGAATAAGGCTATAGTGAGAAAACTAAACTGTTGTTACAGTAGTTAGTCAACTGTTCTGGAAATTATTTTTACTTTTTTTTAACATAAACTGTTCCTTTTAAGAGACAAGATACCGTTCATGTAAGTGATTCAGTGCAATTCCATCAGAGTGGTTTAATGAAAACCTTTCAGAGAGTATCAGATTTTAAGTAAGGACCTCTCTGGTCTTTCATCCTCAGTCTTATCTATCATATTACACTTAAACGCAAAAGCTCACTTCTAAAAAGAAAGGTAGGGAAAAAGGAAAGCAGTTTGCTACTTTTCTCAGATCTTGCAATTTTTCTGCAAGAGATAAAGACCAAAGAGGAGATCAAATTAGTAAATCAATAATGCAAAGCAAAAGGTTGAAAGCCACCAAACCTACCTGGATGGCTGCCAGGTTCTTCTGTTCCTGTGACGGAGCCTCATGGACAAAACGCAGCCAATTCGAATGGCGTGGATTGCTGGCATCCAGGATATAAAGGACCTCACCTTTACTCCCACGTACCTGAAACAGAGTGGGGAGAGGAAAGAAAAAAAAAATCAAGCAAAATTAAAATTGGTTACCAATCACACATGTAAAACACTGAGGCATGCTTGTGCTCAGCAAGTGATTATTGCATTCAACAGGTATTCACAGCTGGGGTGTACACTGACCTTCTCCTGTACACATATTTATTCACCTCAGAATAGAAGGGCAATCAAAATCCAGCAACTGGTGTCAGCTTCCTGCATCGAGCTCCCACCTCTTCTCAAGAGCCTTTTCTTTACTAAGCAAAACTATGACTGACTCCTAGGTCTCTCTTACCTGACAGTATGGTCACTGGTGACCATGTTCTTTCCTCTCTGTTGCTTCAAGTTTTCTTCATTATCTTGCCAGAAACCAACATAACCTAAGAAGTCCTTTCCCATTCCAACCCTATCATCCCTTTTCCAGTTTTGCTTTCTGAGTTCTCCTCTTTCAAGGGTTCTGACACCAGCATTTTACTCCTACAGTCTACCTAACTCCAGCTTATATTGAACCAAGTGAAAATAAGAGAAACTGAAACTTAGTATTTACCAAGTTATTCTTCCTCTGTTGAAATACATACTACTGAAAAAAAAAACCTGCCACTGTCATAGAAAAAAATTACTTGTCTTCTTTTCCATAATAGATCACTTGAATCTCCACTGACATAGAAGATAGAGCGCCGTGCAAAAAGGTCATACAGCCACACTATTATTCCACGTGATTTATTTATATAATGAACATATTTTCTTTTTCATCTGTCAACAAGAGGTATCCAGAGCAGGTATTTCCTAAGAGCTAGGGACTTCAGCTATGTAAGATCAAAATTAGGTTGTCTTCATGGCTTTGTGTTCAAATTGCTCACATTCTTGCTATATTTGTTTCTCATAGATGCAATATCATGTTTCTTCAGTACGACTGCCTGAATTACTTAAACATTTAGGATGTCATTAGAAAGAAAAAACTGTATTCCATTACAATAATAGCTGGTGACAGCATGTTGTTCTCAGATTAAAACCAAACAAAAAACCTAACATAGTTCTGCACAAAAGTCTTGAAAATTTATTACTGTTGTTCCAAAGAAAGACATCATATCTTAAAAAGGACAAACCATGAAAAAGTTTCCGTATTTCAGATTTTTCAAGCTGTTTTATTTTCAAGCACACATACTAACAACAATGAAAAATGTCAAACTGATTAGATGCATCTGGAAATGATATTATCTAACACTAAGCACAGCAATGGGTTTCCCAGAGAGCTTGTGTCGTCTCCATCCTCAGAGATGCAGATACCCAAAAGCAATCCTGGGCAGCTGGCCCCATGTGGCCCTACTTGAGCAGGGAGGTTGGACCAGATGACCTCCGAAGGTCCCTTCCAAGCCCAGCCGTTCACTGACTATCACCTCAGGAAATAATGTCCACTCGTCATTCGAACTGCTGTTTTCATTAGGAACACAGGCCAAATGAGGGCAATCAAACTATAAAAGCAGGCTCCAAATTTACACAAAAATACAGGTGTTTTTACCTCCTGAAAAGCCACCTGCACTAATGATACTGTAATAATCATCCAGTTCTAAACAGATAATCCACAGAGCCAAACCTCACTTTATGAGTGAAAACAGTTAACACTGCACAAGAGAATCTTAGAGTACTTCAAGTCAAGCAAATGATTTTGTGATTTAGCCACCAAAGAATGGGTTATAGAAACCCACCATGTAGTTCTTACAAAAGTTTCCATCAGATCTGGACTTGAGCTGGAAACAGAAGAGATCAAGATGCTTCTGTAAAAATCATACATTACATTACCTTTTCTTCCATTCTTCATTTGCTTGATCCTTGAATTATATAAGAATAATTTATATTCACTTAAACAATAGACAGTCATCACAGTTGTGCTTTCTCAGTCTCTGCCAACCCATAAAGAGATACCAAACACAAGGCAAAAACTTAACACATAAGTAAGCTATTGATAAAAGAACACAATAAATCCTTTAAAGAAATGCTGTATTATCTATTGCTTTTTTCACCTCATAAAGAAATACTGCTGCATCAAACACAAAGCCAAGAAAAAAAATCAAAACACAGTACTTTACATGGACTAGATTGGGGACATTTACCACTCCTCCTCTCACTGGCTGCACAGATAGGTGAATTTCCTAAATGAACAATCAATCTTTTCAGCAGCATTGTAGCGGATCCCAAACTTAATCAATATTTAAAACAAACAAACAGAAAGACCAGCTCTTGCTTTGCAAACATATTTCTCAAACTCAAAGCCAGTACAGGCTAATCATGGTAGTTAAATGAAATAAACCATTAGACTCCATATTTTCATTTTAGATTAAGTGCACCTAAATATCATCCAATATTGAATTATTAATGAGTCAAAATGAAGTTTGGAATATGTCCCTAACAGTGCTTCTTCCAATAAAAGCCCACTAAAGTCCTCAGCCATCCTTCTGCCTTGTGGCAGACCACCAAAAAAGGAAATCAGTTTAATTAGAAGATATATCAACAAATGCAAGCTAAAATGCTTGCACGTGGGTCCATTCCGATACCCGAAACAGGCTGAGATGGCTATCACTAAGACAGACCTTGCACTGTAGGCCCACCCAAGTCTGCTAGCCACAGTAAGAAGTTTTCCCTCCCACACTCCATCAGCCACACTGGAAAGCAGAAGAAATGTACTGTGTAGCTTCCGTGACTGCCCCCAACCCTGGTAGCTGTACCAGCTGTAAGAGTAAGGGAAGAAAAAGGGATGATGATGTCAAGCTGCTTATGTGCTCCTCTAGAAACCTGAAGATATTGCAGTTTACCTCTACACCACAGAACTAGGACTCAGCGTGTACATTTCTGGAGCATGACAAAAAAAGCTCCCCGTATTGATTAAGGTTTCTTAGCTTTATCTCTAAGAACCCTCTTTTACAAATATTCCCACACATACCCTTACTACTTACTCCATGTAAGACCTGGAGAACTAAATAAGATTCATTCTGCAACAAAGCTTCCAGTCCTCTCCCAAGGGACTCTTTTCCAATCATCCAACTACTCCAAGAATCTTCAGGAAAACCTGCCTACCACAACTATTACTGGCAGGAAATTGCTGGAAAACTGGGGATGTCTTTCAGGGAGAGGAAATGAAAAATACTTTTCTATATCACAAGCTGAGGTAGAAAACTCTTTAAGGAAGATTTTCTTAAAGTATCAGCCAGCAAGTTACCACATTTCCCCCATACATTTTGAGTGCTACAATCTTTTGTAGTTATAAGGCACTTAAAATAGAGGCAGAAGACTTACAGGACTGCAGTTCCCTGATAATTGTATGAAGTAGTATCGATACAAATGTGCTCACTAGCATTGTGAAAAACAAAAACTGTGGCATTAGAACCCATCACCTGTCAATATGAATAATTCTGTATTTGAATATTATTTTCCAAGTTTATATACTGTCAGTATTGCCCAAACTATGCAAAATGATTCAGTTTAGCTTGAGGTGTGTTTCTTAAGATGCTCTAACTAAAGTAGTAAAACCAGAAAGGACTTCAAAAACTACTTTAATAGGACTTGAGCTGAAGTACAAAAGTATTGCTAATGGATTTTTTAAGGCCACCAAACTAAAGAAGCACTTAAGTCATGAGACCACTGCTAAATAACAAAGGATTCAGTCATCTTTATAAGTCAGCACAGATCCAGAAGGATTATATGATATGCCTATGGTCAATCTGGAGAATCAGCAAAAGTGCTAGAAATAGACCTCAACAGCCTACTTAGCAATAGATGATGTTATACTATAACGTTCTGTTTAAAAACAGGAAATAGGATCTCATTCCTTTTTCCTTTCAATAAAAGGGTAAATCCCCCTGCCTGGTGTAGTTCAATAGACCATCTTGGTCTAGGACCCATTTATTGCTGAGGTCCTTTCGATCACCGAGATCAATATGTTCCTGTAGTTTCTTGTGACCACCAGAGATAACTTGGAGTTTCTACTATCAGCAAGTAATGTGACCAGACATGCAGTCACACTTGATTTCCCAGGCTAAATATTTAAGTAGCAGTTTGTTTCACATTTCAGTATAGGCAGACTTCGGCACAAGCCTAGAACAAGGCTGATTCAAATTCATGCCTGATAAGCCATGGCAAGATATCTTCCCGTACCTTTCCATTGCAGCACCTTCTGTATTTGGTCACTCACTTCAATCCAACTCACAAAATGCATACACATATGAAAAGCATGACAGCATCTCAAACCGAGGTGCCTAAGAATTATCTTCTGAAAACCGGCACAAAAGGTATTACCGAACTAATTTAGTCAACTGTTTTTACAGTAGGATAAAATACCTGAAACTCACCCTTAACACACACGGGGGTTTTTACCTCGAGATCCATCAGGACATCATTGAATTGTGCCACATTAACAAACACCATGTCGCTACACAAGTATTCTGAAAAAAATGTGCCCCTAGTCATTGAATAAGCTACCAGACGAAATCCTACGCAGGCCTGAATAATGTCTGAGCTGCTCATAACGCCCATCAACAACATGCACTACTCCATCTGCTAGCCTTCTATGCTGCAATGAAATTATCTCCAGATTTTCAAAATACATCCGAAGTTTTCATGCATGCTACTTCAAAACGCTCCTGAGTGCAATTGAAAATGCTCTACCATGCACACCTGGCAAGAGAAGAAGAAAAAAAAACTTCACTGAAAATAAGCAGATGGTTATCTCTGCTGAAGGCAGTGAACACACGGCATGTTTTCTGGAAACCATTTCCTAAACACTTAGAAATCTAAAAATCTACATTCATTCAAACAATCACATATAAAAAAGTACTGTTTTCCACATCGCATTTCTTTGATTAGCTGCAAACATGATTTTCATTGCTAATGCTATAAAACAGCTAGATGTAATACTTGTGCATCCTCAGTTTCAGACCTCCATCATAGAGCTCACTGGAGAATAGAAACTCACATTTTAACATCGCCGAAGAAAGTATTAAAATAACATTTGCCAAGGAAACCTGAGGCAGCAACTGTTGATTTGCTTACTCACTGAGAAGTACTGGGACACAGACAGCATGTGACATGTTTCTTCAGCCAGAATACATGGCAAGTTTTTCATGCTAATGAACCTCCTTCTGGTGCATGATGGTATTTGACCTCATCAGAGACAGAGCAGTTGAGAAAACTCATTTCTAAACTTCTGCTAACATTTTCTGGAGCTTTCATAAGAAGAGCTGAACTTCATGTTCACTGGAAGGATAATCAAGTCTCCTTAAGCAACTGACACGTGATCTTCTATAACAAGTCCAAATTAGAATACTAGCACCTTAACCTATCAACTGTCCTATTTAACATCTGAATAAATTACCTAACTGAAGATGTGAGGCTAACAGTCTGCCTTTCTTGGGAACAAATTCTTCTCATCCACAAAATCAGAAGCTCATTAAGGCACCTGTTCCAAAAGTCACTGAAATTAATACAAAGTCATACACTTAAGATGAATCAAGATGACTAAATCAAGTGCTAAAGGAGTAGATGAATTAAGCGTAGCTAAATAAACAATATTAATAACTATGTTGAACGCCTATGTATCCTAGTGGGGATTAATTTTAAAAAAAAATGAAAATCTAGGACACAGGCTTGCAGCTGAGATCACGCATCAGTGTCTGATTTTTACATGGGGCAGAAGTGATTCTAAATGCAGCTTGAATACAAAATGAGAAAAACAAAAGTATTCATGAAAATTAAACAAAGATTCACACAAAAACATTAAAAGAATGTTGTTACAATTTAAATGTAAATAATATCTGAGGAAAGTAGTCTTCATATAGGCAAAATAAAGACTACACTGCTGAGAACTAGATTTCTAATATTCCATTAATCATGTTAAGCAAACATAGAATTCTTCAGACTAAGATTTATTTTATCACAAAGCCTAGAACATAATTCGACTTCTTGCCTTGTATATAAAAGCCTTCCTATGCCAGAACCACATTTTACAGGCAAAATACCAAAGAGGAAAAAAAAATAAAAAAGAACAACAACCACATTAGCTTAAAGTACTTGACTTTCCAGACCTCAACCCTAACCATTAAAGCTCTGGTCTAAAGCTGGCTGTAGCCAACAGTGGATTTTCTGCTGTCTTCACTAGTTTTCAGGCAGGGTTATTTAACTGAAAATAATTGTCACTGCAAAAGTGATGAGAGTTAGTAGTAGAAACACAAGTTCATTGCATTTACTCATATAAATGAACATACGTGTTAGCTTCCATTCAAAGACTGACTTCCAGCATGTTTCTGTTCTTCTTGGATTTAATATAACAATGAAGAAAATGTTGGCAGATAAAGAGAAACCAAATCTGAAATATGTAACATTCAGCATTACACGGTGTAATATGTGCCATCCAATCCTGACCAACATTTCTCCACGGTATGTGGGAGTATTTCAAAAAGGACTAAATCTTTCCAGCCCTCCCTGTTTTAACATTTGCCAAAATCATCATCAGAAATATATGCTTGCCACAACCCAATAGTAGTGAAACAAATACCCATTTCTTGGTTAGGGACAATAAAGAAAATAAATTGAACAGATATGATCCCTTTGCAAAGGAACAGCTGAGCCTCCAGAAGCAAAAAATTATGTGAACTTGAAGACCTAAATATTATTCTGTTCTTGCCTTAAAGCACTTGCTCTTTCAGCAAATATACATCATTTCAAACAGCTATGCCAAGTACACTAAAGCAGACCAATAAAGAAGTACTTAATCAAGGTTTTCAGGGGATACTAAGAATAAGAAAAAAATTCTCAATTCATCACCAGCATCTAGCTGCATACTTAACTAGCAAAACATGCAATTCAGTCTGAGAGATCATGACATAGTGATCAGGGGTATAACGGGGAGGTGGGGTTTTGACGGAAAGAAAGCAAAAGCACAAAGCCATGTGGACAGTTTGGCTAGTTTGGGGTTGGTTTTTTTTCCCTTTTTCCATCACTTGCATATAAAACATTTCAGCATGTAGCTCTTTACAAAGATAACAGAAACGTCAAAGATGCTTCCCACACACACGCCGTTCTCTGCAATTTGTTGAATGAGAAATCGTACACCTTTGATTTCTTCAAAACTGTGCATGATATAGACAGAATAATGGCATTCTGCTATACTTAAACACAAACTGTAACACCCTCAGAACTTTATTTAATAAAATCACTGTACCAAATAAATTTTTGGGGCTCCATGTTTTACCAAAGGCCAAAAGAAAACATAACGGGTACAATTCTGTCTCAGCATGACGTCTTAAAGATGCCAACTCACACTGCTCGTCTCAGAGAAGAAGCAACAGCTTGATCAAAACAGACCACATCACAGACCACAGCTCTACACAACTAGAAATGCATGTGGTTACCTTCCTTGCAGAAAATATTCCACAAAATTGAAGCTCAGATCCCAAGCATTACATACCAGAGATGTTCCACCAAGGTTGATTTTTATTTGACTTATAAAACGCCTGTACTCCTTAGCCTTCTTTCTGAAAATTTTTTTGACTGTCATCAGATTGTGAGGTCAGGCTTCCGTGTGCCTTCAATCAACAGTCCTCAGACTCATTATTTTTAATATCTTTGGTACAGTTGACTCTGCACAAACTTGTCTCGTTGCTGTGACTGCCTCCCACAGTCTCTGGAATAACCACCTACTTAGGCTGCTCAACTTTTTACCTTCTGCGTTCCTGGTCTCGATTTTCAACTTAAGACTACTCTCAGCCTGACTTAAATTATTTTATAAGGCTCACATTCAAATCAACTCCAGTAAATGTGAACAACTTGGGTTCAAACATTCAGGAAGTCATAAAATTTGGTATGCAGGAATCTTTTCAAGGCTCTCAAAACTAGGTTTCAGTAGGATCTTATGAAATGGTTTTAGAGCAGCTCATAAAAAACTCATTTTCTGGTTTGCAGTCGATGGGGTCATATTAATGTCATCAGTCAATACATGTACGTGCCTTTTATTTTCTGTCTTCCAAAACCAGATAAATCTCATTTAATCATTGGCAATGAGGAATCTGAAAAATTACAGGGCTTTCCAACAAACATTAATCGTTCTTGTTGCTATAAGCCACTCACCATCCTTTCTGAAAATCTTGTTCTAGTTCAACTATTTTACTGATTTGAAATAACCTGCTGAAACATCATGAAAAGGCAAGAGAGCCAGGGCACGTGAACATGTACTGTATTTGGCAAACATCTCATCAGCTGAGAAAAAAGAAGATGAAGCCAATTTCTCTGAGCACATAACCAAAGGATAGAGGGGAAAATCATCCACACTCTCTCTGGGCACAAACCTAGATTAAGGAGGAAAAAAAAAAAAAGAAAAATAAAATAGGAGAAAAGAAAGGGCAGGGGGGGAAGCAAAGGCATAAGGATTTACAGATTTGAGTTAACATTAATCTAGGAATATTTTGCCACTCACTGTATTTATATTGAGTTTAGGTTTAACAAGATGGCCTTTTAACATTCTCTTGCTTGTTGTTACAGTGTGTAGAATTTATAGAGCTCTGCTAAGACTGTATCAATACTATGCTCTCTTTATAAACCACTCAGTGATGTTAATGCTAGAGATTTTTTTTCAAATAAACATTTATTTTGTACTAAATGCACAGATAATGCTTTAAGTCGGATGTTAAACACAAGCTTGTTTTGTAGAGTGCCACGCAACATAAAAGTAACAGTCATCCATCCACCTCTAACCATAGAAAGGTGAAAAGGTAGGAAATGAGTTCCCTTCTCAGTGTAAAACAGGATTAAATACGCATTTAACTGAAATTGCTTGGCTGAGGGGAAAAAAGAATAGAAAAGGAAAAGAATTCTGCTCGCAGAACTACAGTAGAAAAGTAAGATTACAAGGACAGAACAGAAGCTCTGAAAAGCAGGTGTTCATAGCCAAGTTAGAAATGTTGTTACTGCAAGTATTCTTCAGTTTGTGTAATCTCCTCAACTGGTAAATGCAGACAGCTTTTCTCCTACAGGCACACATAGCTATGACAGGAACTAAGATGGGTTAAGGACCTAATTACAAGATCTACCATAGAGAAACTACTGTTGCTGCCTAGTACATGTAAAAAACAATTATAAGAGCCCTGAAACTTATCCACCCACAGCATCACATTTCTATTTTGCAAAAGCTCTCACAACTACATATTGCATTACAAAGTTGCTAAAATTTAAAGCCCTAGCACAAGTTTCACAGCAGGACATGTTTTGTATTACAGTTGGAGGAAGCTATGAGCTGACACCTGTTGATCAGCATAAACTATTATAGAATCATAGAATGGCCTAGGCTGGAAGGGACCTTAGAGATCATCTAGTCCAACCTCCCTGTTTTGGGCAGGGACGCCACCTCTCGACTAGACCTGGCAACACATGGGGACCCAGCGGGAATTGAACCCGCGACCTCGGTGTTGGTCCTTGTTGCCAGCACCGCGCTCAAACCACTGAGCTAACCAGCCCCCTATCTCAGCAACCTGTAATAACCTTCCCATATTGAAATTATTTTTTTTTATTTTCATATTCTTCAATATTTTTTACAATGTTACCCTATTGCATTTTGCTTGACTGAATATTTTTCACACTTCATTGATTAGAAACTCCCATTTGTTACTTCTGTATAGTTTTAAAGAAGTCTATCCACTTCTGCCTGAAAGATATTTTAAATGCATCAATACCTACAAAATCTCACTACAGTACCTCTAAACTTGGGGGAAAAAGTTGTTACAGGAAAAACTTAATTCTGAAAAGACTTTTTTTCCAGGTGTGATGATGTGACTCTATACTACTCACTTCCCACATGAGCCTGCAGTCTGTGTTGTCATCCAGGTCCTGCGGCATTCGCTTCTCCCCTGCAAAGGGGCCAAATTTCTCCCCCTAAAGAATAATCATACAAGAAAAAGTATCAGTGTGGAGAAAAAAAAAAAAAAGGCAAGTGAATTACCGAACTCTGGCAGATGTATCATTTTTAGCTTCAAATGGAAAAGGACAGTTTTAATTTGTCATTCTCCTAAATGCCAAGACAGTGCACAGCCTTAAGGGTTCAACTTCAAGCTCATTGCCTCTCATAGCTTGGAGAATCTCTTAAAACCACACCTTTCCTCTACACACTTATTTCCCCTTTTGGAAACAGCATTTTTCTTCATTTTAAATAGGGTTGAAATTTACAAGTCAAATTCCTTACATTTCTTTTAAGATTTTCATGAAGCACTTTGCAATAGACATCCAAGTAAAACGTAAAGTATCTAGCAAGCACAAAGTTTACATTAGATTTACTTGTAAGATTATTTGCAACATTGTTTTTTGAAGTGCCATCCATCAAAACACTGAATAACTGAGGTTTTGATTATACAGATGATTATTCATTCAGCGCACATTATTTGATTATTCATTTGATTATTCATTTAAAACCACCGTGACTATGCACTTGTCTATGGATTAATTCAAGCCTTCATAAACAAAATTAAAATGTTATACCACCTGGTATTCATAACACACTGTAAAAGCATCCATTGATACATTCTTCCAAAAGTCTAAAGTATCAGTGTATTTTCCTTTCACAGATATCACAGCAGCAGCAAGATACATTATTTAAATAGGACTTTCTTCTTACATAGGCCTAACTTTGTGCCCCCTTTCCAGTCCTGTCCTTAGATGCAGTGACAAGCCCTAGAAGCCAGAATGCAGACTGCAGATCTTCATCGTTTTGCTAACCAAATGCGGCCAGCTTTACAAATCTCGAGTTTTAATACTCAATCTGAAATTTCCTTCTTCTACCTCACCAGCAATGAAGGTGAAATTAGGACAATACAGTTATATGTGTCCAGCCACCAACATCAGCTTACATTGAGTGCCACCCTAGCACACATACTGGTCTCTAACAGGAGCTGCACAGCTATCACGTGGGAGGCAACTTCTCTGATTGCGTTGTTTGCTGAGATTAAGGAGGAGGAAGATGGTGCCAGAGGAAATCTGCTCTGGAAGTGTACAGTCCTGTCCAGCTCAGTAAAGATAAGACAGACTCTTTCTGTAGCAGACAGAACTGGCTTTCCTCATTCACTTAGAAAACAAGAAGTTTGGGTGCAACAAGGAAAGCAGCTCACGACAACTGCTGAGCTCTAAGATAGGGCCTAATTAGATCTGCAGGATCTCTCATTACTCATAGCAATTATTAAGATGAAAAGAAACTTACTGGACTACAATCTAGAATCATTCTGCAGAAAGAAAAAAGAAAACTCCATAAATTTAATATAGAAATTATTTGAAGACATAATAAACAATGAACTTGAAAAAGCCAGTCTCCTGCATTCACTTCAGCAGTAAGACTCACACTTTTTCAGACAGCCTAAACAGATTGTACTTTTAAGGCTCCCAAAACCCTCACCTCTGTAATATTTTTATCCTTACAACACAAAGAATCCCTAGATACCTTGGAAAGCACCTAAGGCATTAATTTTACCCATCACTAAAGAATACATCACCTCTGGGATGAAGCATAGCAACAGCTTACTACTGCATACTGACTCAGAACAAGACACACCATACATCATTCCTGCCTCAGTGACTCTAGACCAATAAACCTCTAGTGCAGTACATTTGCGACCTTCTAGAAGCTCAAAACAACAGAAACAGCAAAGATGTCCACCTCTAAATGTAAAGTAAATGTAACATGAACAGCAGGTAATTGAGACTTTTAAGTACTTTTAATAGCGTGTCCAATTTGGATAAATCAGACAGCAAAACCTGATGTCTTGGAACACAAAAGTCCCTGGGGACAAGTGTAACTATTCATTTGGCATTTCAGAACCTCTTTTTCATATATATCTATGTATTAGTCCTAGTTAATAAACACACTGCCATATGCCAATACATATTGATGAAAAACATACTAATACTTGAACTTCCTCTCTGATCAATAAAAGCAAAGCATACAACACAGTCTAAAGACAACCACAGAAATTATTCAAGATACAAAAGTCACATTATTCGAATGTTTAAAAAGCTATTCTCAACAGTAGCTTTAAAGAAAGCAACAGTGACTAATTTTCCAGTCACAGAAAATACTGAGAAATGTAGGCTCTCTGTAATCAAAGGCTATATTGTTGGAGAAATTAAAATCAAATCACAACTTCTGTTAAGGAAATAAAACAAAGCTTCCACCTTTTATGATTACAGATATAAACTTGAAAGTACAGCATAATGCCTGAAGGTGCAAAAGCAGACGGCAGACAATAGTATTTCAAAACGCATTATTACCAAAGCTTTGCTAATAGCAAAATTTTCAGAGGCCTGCTTCATGATTATTTAGCACCTGGAGAGTTGGTACTGCAATTTCTGATTATAAGATCATCTGAAATGTGTTTTGCTTTCAGTTAAGACAACTACAGTTGTGTGACAGCAATCAAGAGAAGATAGTGCAGTATTTCTTACTCAGCAACACAGATATTACTTCACAATTAAGTGTCATATTCAACAACTCCTCCCAATTTCAAAGCTCCAAGGAACAGTTTAACAGCTATTAGCTACTGTCTATTACAACCATGAAGTGTAGCATTGCTGCCTCCTTACCGGACAGGAGAAAACACTGAGAGCACTGCAGAGGGGTTTTTCTTTCCATGGAAAAGAATAACACACAGTCTGGCTATATCCAATACATCATCTGTGTTAGTTACACATTCACCTTTTTCTGAACAGCTGGGGTGACACAGAGTGCTTATACTTTCAATCATTTTTAGAAAGACGTGTTTCAACCACACAGAACAACTCAAAAGCTGGTTCTTCAGCCTGTCGAAGAGCAAAGCCTGCCTGTCAGGCACATACTTCTGACGAGGGCTTTCTGTAACACAACGATCTAACAAACACTGCCACCAGACACACCTAATACAAACAGATCTTAGAACAACTGCCTTTGCCTTTACCTTTCGCGTCCCATACACAATGAGTGTCACATCTGCAACACTTCAGTTTTGCCAGCATGCCCTGTGTGATGTACTCACACTAGCAGAGCTGCACACACGAAGCTCTGACTGCAGGTATTTTAGGCCCATATACAGAAAGTTCAAAATCGATATGGAGTAAACCAGGCAAAAAAATGCTCTGTTCTTCTTAGCATGCAGCTCTAATGGTTCCGCTGACTACAGCTTAAAGGAAGAAGGCTCTGACCCTGAACTGATATATTGGCATTGGGATGATGATTTCAGTTGAGTTTTGCTCTAGAGCTCACTTGTATTGGAGTCCAGGGTTTAACATGTGCTAGTAATGTACAACCTTCCTCACTGTGTGAACTCCCAAAGTTTTCAAATTTAAGTTCAGAATCTCAGGGGAAAAAATTTAAGCCAAGTGATATAAAATCGTTCCCCTTCGACCGCCCATTAATACTCAGGGACACCTTCAAAGTGCGAGGACCCTACCCCATGGTACCACAGCCTTGTTGATGAAACCACTGAAAAATTACATAGCCCTCCCAAGCAACTTGAGCCAAGGCCAGGGCAAAGATGGAAAGCAAAATACACAAAATAGATAAAAGCTTACCATCATCCAGGATTCATAACTTAATAAGCCACCCAGATAGTTATAAATTGGGATTTCAGATCCTCAAGAGGCTTTTGATTCAATTAACTAAGTGTCAAGGGACAATGATGTGGTTGGGGTACAAGAGATGTGCAGTTCAGCTGAACCACATCTTTTGCAGGCTTCATAGAATCATAGAATGTTTGAGGTTGGAATGGACCTTGACAGATCATCTAGTCCAAGCCCCCGGCCAAGCAGGATCCCCTAGGGCAGGCACACAGGAACGCATCCAGGCGGGTTTTGAGAGTCTCCAGAGCAGGAGACTCCACACTCCCTGGGCAGCCTGGGCCAGGGCTCCTCACAGGAAAGAAATTTTTCCTCGTGTTGAGATGGAACTTCATCATCCCAAAACGATTAATTAAACCGTCCCTCCCACCAGGCTCTAAGAGCAGAGAGGCAACAGGAGCCTGTGACCCACGGGTGAGAACCTCCACCTCAGAAACGGCCCGAAGCCAGGCCATAACCCAGGAGAAGTTCTGCCCTCAGGAACAGCGCCAGAAACAAAGTTACAAGAAACGCAGTTACAAGAAACGAAGGAAACAAAATCATACGGAAAAAACTCTCCGCCCAC